ATATGATCCAATGACACAAATACACCATATATATATGATCCAATGACACAAATACACCATATATATGATCCAATGACACAAATACACCATATATAATCCAATGACACAAATACACCATATATGATCCAATGACACAAATACACCATATATTATCCAATGACACAAATACACTATATATATGATCCAATGACACAAATACACCATATATAATCCAATGACACAAATACACCATATATAATCCAATGACACAAATACACCATATATATGATCCAATGACACAAATACACCATATATAATCCAATGACACAAATACACCATATATGATCCAATGACACAAATACACCATATATATAATCCAATGACACAAATACACCATATATATAATCCAGACCCAAACCACCATATATAATCCAATGACACAAATACACCATATATGATCCAATGACACAAATACACCATATATATAATCCAATGACACAAATACACCATATATGATCCAATGACACAAATACACCATATATAATCCAGACCCAAACCACCATATATAATCCAATGACACAAATACACCATATATAATCCAGACCCAAACCACCATATATGATCCAATGACACAAATATACCATATATATAATCCAATGACACAAATACACCATATATATAATCCAATAACACAAATACACCATATATAATCCAATGACACAAATACACCATATATAATCCAATGACACAAATACACCATATATGATCCAAACCACTATAAATTCCAAAATTATATTCTATAAAAGAATGCAAGGATAATACGACAACAAGCTGGTTTAATTTGACCTGGTTTATCACGCCATTCCAAACAAACGTCATGATGTTCTTCCGCAAAACTAAGATGATCCATAGATAAAGTCTGAAGTGGATACCATCTACCAGAAGCTACAAGTGCTATCAATGTATTAGTTACCATAATCTTACCCTTCCTAGGACAATTGCGGTAACACTAGGAAGTCAAAAATGCCAATACTTGGACTACACGTGTTTTTGTAAAATTCAATCCATAATTTCGTTAGATGAGCGTGAAGATGAACATCCAGAAGTTTTTATTGGGTCATTAGAGGTGGCAATATGATCATACTCCTCACCCTCCAAACCGCATTCCCGAAATCTTACTGATATTTGAATAAATAAGACTAATAGCTGACAACCATAAATATCAGACTAAGTAACAATCACAGTATGAAACGGTTCAGCACAGGTAATATATAAAAGTCCCTTGGTACTTAAGTATGAAAGCATGTTATGTTAATATAATAATAAACTTACAAATAATGATTTATGAGCATAATGAAGTGGTTTACGTTTGGGTACATACTACATGTTTCGACAGAAAATTAATTTGTCTTCTTCAGGTATAATATAATAATGATAAATATTATAATATAAAAGTATTGACATAAAAAGCCGACAGGTTGCACTTCTGTCTATATTACTCTTGCTAAATCCACCAGGGGAAAAAAAAAACACTATCCCATATAAAAATATCTTCTTGTCTGACCGAAAAGCTATAGAGGGATAATCACTTAAAGCGTAGACACAGCCCCAAAGAGCGGAGCGCGTTTATACGGAAACGGCCCGCGAGCCATGAACCCTATGTTTCATAGTTCGAGCCCGCCCATTCACTTTTCGAAATTTTATTCGTAAAATAAATTTTGATAACATAATTTAACGGTAAAATATCAAGTCTGCAATGTTTTTGAGAAATAAAATATTGAAACAAAATTGGAAGTAAACATTTTAATATTTTTTAAAATTGAATTGTGAGTGAGCTAACAGAAATGAGAGGTCGCTTTGGATATGGCAATACTATAAACAACTAGGAAAAAGAAACCGTAAACTTTGAAAAGAAGCTCGTTCCTTGGTATGCTACACTTTGAACCATTCCGGTAACTACCCTCAGGTATACTTCTACTCCCTCACAGGTTGGTGACCCGGCAACTGACACCAAGTATCAACCAAACTAGCTGCCGAGAAAACCACCCACCGGGTAATAAGCCCAGCCCTCAACTCACTAGTGCTACTTGCAAAAAAAAAGGACGACATGAGACGCACTATACCAAAGAAACTATACGTCCTAAAGATTTATACACCACACAACAAAGCACAAACATAGAAAATACGATAGAAGACACGCAACAACAAGAATTAGAAAACACACAATCTGAACATGATGATGCACGTGAAGACACCCAAACACAATCATGGAAACGAACCAAATCACATCAAGAAACATACTCAAATACATAGAAGTAAACTTTAAAAACCATGAACTAAATGCACACAAAAAGAAGAACAAAATATAAATACACAGACAGTAACTACGCATAGTGAAGAACACGAAAAAAAAAACATACACACAAACTCAAGAAACAAAAAACACTGTACAAAAAGAAGACGATTTTACACTTTTCACATACAAAAAAAAACGACAAACATAAACACAAACTTCAGAGAACAACGCACTCAAAAATATACCAAAATTTTCAATAATTATTTAAGGAGTTCCGGGAACATATCAACAACCACAACAAAGCAGCTGAAATAGCCAGGTGCAAACCGGAAGTTAAGCTTGAATGCATAAAACGACTAGCTCGAGGTGGTGGTGTCGTTAGAGGGACTGCGGCCACTGACCTTAACCGCCTCCTTCAAGACTGGCCAGTCGATGCATTCTCACCCGGAAGTATGACAATTCAAATACCAGGTACATACGTCATAAACGTAGCCAATCAGCACTTTATACCACTAACCCCGTACACAATACAACAGTTCATGAATACCACAACACAAAATGTACGATACAAGAAATAAAATAATGCCCGTACACTAAACACAACATAAAACATGTGTTATATTAAACTTATATTAAAGTTTTTCTTCATTACCCATTCAAGCCGTCTCCAGCCATTATAAAACAAATAACATTACATTGACATGGCCCTGAAAAGGAGATAAATAAAAAGTAAACAACATTAAAATATAAAATACAATAGCCAACACATTAACTCGGTAAGAATAAAACAAATTACAACAGCAGAGGAGGGGTGGAAGAAATCATTTTGAACCTGACCCTCCCAGGGCTTCAAGACCTAAATCCCGACGCTGAAATAAAGAAACTCATAGATGTCGTCACTTTCACACTGTCTGAATCTAGATATTTAATCCTAGCATGATCAGTGGAATCAGACAGATTATGGTTCTCGTCGAGCGTTTCGAGACCAGCGAAAGAATTTACCGTTAGCAATCCCTCGGGTCGTTTCGAGACCAGCGAAAGAATTTACCGTTAGCAATCCCTCGGGTCGTTTCGAGACCAGCGAAAGAATTTACCGTTAGCAATCCCTCGGGTCGTTTCGAGACCAGCGAAAGAATTTACCGTTAGCAATCCCTCGGGTTTATCATTTACTTTCTTTCATCCTGTCCTCTATCACCGAACATACTCGCCCTCTCAGCCGTGAGTGTGTTAATAATATGATGGTCACTTTTTATTGGTAAAAAAAGTAGCCCAAGTTGATTAAACTGTCGTGTTAATTATAAGAAATTATGGTTTAAATGTTGACTTCTGGGAAAAAAGAATCTGTGTTTTTAATTCTAAAACATAAGGCTTAAATGTTGACTTCTGGGAAAAAAGAACCTGTGTTTTTAATGCTAAAACATAAGGCTTAAATGTTGACTTCTGGGAAAAAAGAACCTGTGTTTTTAATGCTAAAACATAAGGTTCAAATGTTGACTTCTGGGAAAAAAAGAATCTGTGTTTTTAATTCTAAAACATAAGGCTTTTATGTTTTAGCATTAAAAACACAGGTTCTTTTTTTCACAGAAGTCAACATTTGAACCTTATGTTTTAGCATTAAAAACACAGGTTCTTTTTTCCCAGAAGTCAACATTTAAGCCTTATGTTTTAGAATTAAAAACACAGATTCTTTTTTCCCAGAAGTCAACATTTCCTAGTTATGTAAAAACAAGGAATCTGTTGCTTGGAAATTACTGAACCTAGTTATGTAAAAACAAGGAATCTGTTGCTTGGGAAATTACTAAACCTAGTTATGTAATTTCAGAGTTGAAGTTTTTTAGTCAGTAAAAATAATTTGATTTTTAACTTTAGGTTGTTTTACTTACTACTGCACTTTTCTGAATAGAACCCATGTAAAATAGTGAACTAAAGTTTTAAACGAATCGTACTCCCTCCCTCGTGTGAACACAAGTTCAAACTCAGATTTGAACCTTAGACCTTTGCAAACAAATACTTTAAAGTGGCAGTCTCTTTTAGCATTAAAAGTACAGGTTCTTGTTTCCCAGAAGTCAACATCTAAGCCTTATGTTCTTGCATTAAAAACACAGGTTCTTTTTTCCTAGAAGTCAACATTTAAGCCTTACTGAACCTAGTTATGTAAAAACAAGGAATCTGTTGCTTGGAAATTACTAAATTTCCAAGCAACAAGTTTTACATATATTTTAAACTAAAAATCAAACTTTTGAATTTACTGCGACAGATCTCCCACTATTCTTGTTTTAAGATAGGAATTTTATGTACTAATTTTGTTTTGTTTTAATATATCGTGCTTACCTCGTCTTATTTTTTATTCTTATAGTATTTATTTGTATTTCGTCATCAGATTATACATTCGTCGAACAATCTCAACCACGGTGCATACTGGATATTGATCTGTGATGTACCCAGAAGTTACATATTTTAAAAAAAATTATCAAATCTTTATTGAAATATGAAATATTTCATTAGTCAGTGAAAGGAAGCCTATAAATATGGAAATGGGTCTTGACATTTATCGTAGTTACTAAATCATGCCTCAGTTCAAAGACTAGTATAGAAAGAAAAGGGCAACAAGAGTTACTGAAACAATCCTATTTGTTGAGGACAAGCACACAATTTCTTGTATTGGAACTATTTTGTGATAAATAAAAACACGCCGTCAGAGAAAAATAACACACAAACACACAAATTCTGAGGATTCAGAGGTTTAATTGGAACCAAATTTCTATAATATCCATCACTCACAAGCAAACTCGAGCAGATATTTTATGTGTTTATTTAAACCGAAACAAAATAGCCATAGTGCTTAATGTGTGTGTGTGGAGCTGTATTTATTCAACTGCTTGAAACACTAATACCATAAACTCTTGGGTTTGTCTTATATTAATTGCATTAACATTAGAAATTTTACAGTGTAGCAACATTCACAGTATGCATCCATGTAAGAAAAAAAAAGATTATCTTCCAAGTTTAGCAGAATACGGGAAAAAAACAGCAACCCACATCTAAACATACTACAGTGGGCGTTAGTAATAGAAGACAGTTCTGTTCTCAGTAAGCTTCTTTAAAGATTTATTCCATCATCAATCATCATCTTCTAGTTAACAACATTTAATCCTGTTTGTGGGGTTGTCTGAGAAGTTCAAGTACAATCATTTATATATATATACTTTTTTTTTTATTTTACTCTGTGAGAGACGCTAATTCTGAATATAAGTGTAAACGTGAAAAAAAGATTCTAAAAAAGTTGAAAAATCAAAATGAAAATAAAATTTTTAATTGCTAAAGTTTCAAGTAATTAACACTTTTTTCAATCCAAACTCATTTCTTCATCAGGATCTTTATCTTTATCCTTATTAGAAACATCCCCTTTTACAGTTCCATCCGTTCCTCCGGCTCCTGGACTCCCTCCTTTACCTTGGGCATTCTGTAATGCCCGTACAAAAGCTTCCATATCTATTGGGACAAAATATTAAATTGCACTGAATAGAGGAACAGAGTGATAAAACCGAAAATGTTACTCTTCACCTCATTATTTATATTGTAATTTAATACATAAAGATTTACACAAGCAAAAATGTATTCAGATGATCAACTACTTGTACAGTTACTTGTATGGCTAAATAGTCCAGTACAGTTACTTGTATGGCTAACTAGTCCGGTACAGTTACTTGTATGGCTAACTAGTCCGGTACAGTTACTTGTATGGCTAACTAGTCCGGTACAGTTACTTGTATGGCTAACTAGTCCGGTACAGTTACTTGTATGGCTAACTAGTCCGGTACAGTTATTTGTCTGGCTAACTTCACTACTATCCAACTGAACAAATTACCACATAACACTTCACTACTATCCAACAGAACAAATTACCACATAACACTTCACTACTATCCAACAGAACAAGTTACCACATAACACTTCACTACTCCCCAACTGATCAAGTTACCAAATAACACTTCACTATTCCCCAACTGATCAAGTTACCACATAACACTTCACTATTCTCTAACTGAACTAATTATAATGTGACACACTTCCCATCAAACCCAACTAACTAATCTTGCTGTTGTAGAAATATTCCCTAAAGATCGTACCTCCAGAAGTGGCTGCACTGACAACATCCGTGCCCATACCAAACTGTTGCATCAGAGGACCTAGTTGACCAGACTGCAAAGCAGCACTAAATATGCCAAGAGCCTGAAAATTAAAACAGTAACACAATTTGTATTAAATCTTTATAACATTCTCTAAGATAATGGAAAAATTAAGATTTCTTAAATATGTGTACAAAGAAAATAGCCTTTTAACAAACAATTAACTGTTTTAACATTTTCAAACTTAGTAAGAAAAGTTGGCGGTGCTTACCGTTTCATTCCAAGCCTACAAAAGTATTTCTTAGAAGACATAAATACGTAAAATATAGTAAAAACTAAAGATTGCATGAGATTTTCAATACGTAAAGTATGAAACATTGTTTAAAACAAAAGTGTAAGAACCACCAAATCTACAACTACACAACTGGCATCAACATGACAGTTAACTCGTGTAATATCTTCAACAATTCTACCAGTACATTAAGTTTCTACAATCTTTAAGGACTTCCCAAGACTCTCAGTTATGAAATGAATGATTATTCTCATACTGATAACATCTGAAATTTCTCACTTTTTGGAATCCTTAAGCCTATCTTCAAATCTCGATTAAAAGCAACAAAAGATATTACATTAATTTATAGTTGTTCTCCTGTACTTTCAAGTTATGATGCATTCATACACATGGTATTGAAATTGAGTAAAATTAGTAAAAAAAAAGGGTTTAAAAGGAAGATACAAAGGAATTTCACTCCTTCATTGTGTGAAAATAAACTGCACCAGTTTACAGCCACATTTTCACAGTTTAAAAACCGATTAGTTGTCAATCAACCAATCAGAGAGTGCCACACAAGAATAAAACCTATAAAATTATAGGCTGTCATACTATGCCCAGCAGTAGTAGTGTAAAGGTAGTAATGGCTCCCAGGGCTGAAATACTGCATGACAAGCATGTAAAAAAAAATCAAAGGTTTTGCTGGTCAAGGATACTTCCATGGAGTTCTCTGAAGAGGATAGAATATACTTGCATTATTAATAACAGAAGTAATCAAAGTTATGATTTTTACAAGATACATGATGGCCAAGTATAGATCTTGTCAAAAACTACAGCTGAGAAGAAGTAACCAAATGAAAAAAATTTATATAGACATTGGATAACAAACAGTTGCACGAGCAAAGTTTGAGATACGTGTCCTTTACAGATGATACTATGTCCAAATTGACAGTTTATTTAATGGTTGAAAGAAGAATTGTACCATAATTAACCTATAACATCCACAGTGAAACATGGTGGAGAGTCAGTACAAGGTTCAGGCTGCATCTCAGCCAATAGTGTAAGTGATCTACACAAAACTGATAGCACCCCAACAACTAACAGGTACAGGCAGATTGTGATCCATCATGCCATTTACTAAGGAACATGACTCACTAGGAAAGAATTAATCTTATAAAACAATGATACCTAGCATACAACAACTGTGATGAAACAAGACTTTAATGATAAAGAGACTGATGGAACACACACACAACTAGGGATTAGCCAGCACAAAGTCCAGATTTTTTTAGGCTAAATGAAATTAGGTAAAAACTGAGAAGTTCAAAAAATGGCCAAACAACTTGGCTGAGTTGTTGGTAGTAATAACAAGACACTTAGAACAATATTCCAACAATCATACATTGGTAAATTGTACATCAACATGAAAATAAGATGTGACATTCTATGTAAAACATACATTTCCAAATCAAAATACTAGAGCATTATGTAATTTATTTGCATTTCTTTTGTATTTCATGTGATAATATTTTGTATCATTAATAAAATCACCATCTAATTGCTTTGACTTGTGGTTTATGACTCCTTTTTGTGTACCACTTGTGTGTTTCCATAATTACTTCCAGTACTATATGTATGTGTATACATATATTTTTTTTTTCAATTTAGCTCTATTTTAAAATTGATTGGTAAAAAATGATTTTCCAATATTTTCTATTACTTCCCCTTTAGTATTAATGTTTTATATTTAAAATAACTTCCTGCCCTGTAGAAAATGTGAATGTTCAAAACTATCCATGAAAAATGTATTCCATCTTTTTTTTAACACTTCCACTAACCTCTGGCACACACTTGGTGGAACAGCCCACCAAAGCCGCTTCGAGTGAAGAAATGTTAAATATTAATAAATACAACTACGATCCATACCTGCTGAAACTGTGGAGATTGAACTGTCATCCTCAAGTGATCCCGAATGGAAGAGGATCCGGTGTCACTCGAAGGTGGGAGAAGCTCGCATACTCTGTCCATAAACTCCTGGTTAGAGAGTAATGGTTGCAAAGCTTCAGCAGTAAGAGCAGAAGATAAATCCACTGGAGGGGGTAAAAAACAACAACGTTCATTTGTGAAACTATTTTAGATAAAGCTATTTACTCACAGATGAAATGCAAAATGAATCTAAAAGGTTATTTTTTTAACTACAACTTTCCCAATGAGCTGTTAAGAATTTGAAATACCTTCTAACTTAAAACTGATAATTTAAACCTAAATTTGAATGATTTTTTGATGTCTTCGAAATCTTTCACAGCAATGAGCAAAGACAAGCTAAATCCATATTATCATAAATCTGATGTCTATATAAACCAGTAATGCTATTTTTGATACTCAATCCATATTATCATAAATCTGATGTCTATATAAACCAGTAATGCTATATTTGATCACTTCAATCCATATTATCATAAATCTGATGTCTATATAAACCAGTAATGCTATATTTGATACTCAATCCATATTATCATAAATCTGATGTCTATATAAACCAGTAATGCTATTTTTGATACTCAATCCATATTATCATAAATCGGAT